AAAGTACCATTGTGCTTGATCACTCTCTCTGCCCTCTCACCTACCCACCTTTTTTTTCCCTTTTCTCTTTTTCCTTCCCCTTACTTAAGACCAAAGTGGCATTTCAGTCCATCTCTGGGAGAGACAGTGTTCAGAGTGTGAGATTTCACCTACACAACATGTGAGACACTGTCTGTCAGGTTCTGCAAGTGAAATCTTAGGAATCTTAGGAAGGTATCCCTTAAGTGGAAGGTATTCCTTAAGTGGATGCTTTTCACAGAGAGGTAAAAAAAAATGTGGCTCCTTGCAATTGTTAGGATTCCTGAGCAATGTATACCTGGGACAAGAGGCAGCACAGTGTGCCAGTGTGTGAGAGGAGGCGTTCATCTCATTTCTGTTAACCACCTCTAAAATTCCCCCTTGTCTAATGCACTGGGTTCATTTATTTTCCAAGCATCACTGATGACTAAATTTTATGACTCTTGAGTATTGTGTACTATCAGACACTGTATTAATATTAACACTGTGCAATATGAAAATACCGTTTCCAAACCCTTGAAGGGTAGTATTTAAAACACAACTTCGTCTTGTTTGGTTAGAGATGTAATTCCACAAACATAATTTCATTGAACATATTTTCACGGAACACAGAAAGGTAATGTAAAATAAATGCCATATACAAAGACTATTTTCTTTTACTAGAATTTTTAGCCTTTGATATGTAACATACAGTGTGTTGTATTACATTCTGAATTTTTCGAGCTCTACATTGAAAGTGGAGGTCAACTAAAATGGTGCCATATGGATTAAGGATAAATGGGTGGAATTAAGATAATATTTTACTTTTCTAAGTCACTCTTTTTTTGGTGTTTGTTTTTTTTTTTTCCCAAACATTCAAGTTTCTAACAACTTTTTGAAAATACTAATTATCACTCCAGGGAAATGTTATATATATATTTGTAATAATATTTTACTGATTTTGGTTTATTTCTTTTTGGTTTCCTGCAACATCTACAAACACAAATCAAAGAGATTGTCAAAACCTATTCAAAATACCTTTTTCTTTTGTGGAACATTGTGTACTTATGAATAACATAATAAAACCTTGTTATACTCTTGTTTACAAGCCCAGTGTAAAGTTTATGTAGAGGTTTATTAACCTTTCCATAAAGAATGGATACATTTCATTAATATGTGGGAACATACAATTAGAAAGTACAAGAATACGCACCATGTTGCCGCTTCCCATCACTGGTGGTTGAAGTTCTTATAAAAAGATGATTATTAAAAAACATTCTGTACAAGCTGCCATAAAAACTTAATCCATAACTGGTTTGACCACAAATATGCTGTTTCTCAATTAACACCACTTGTATTACGCAGAACTCTCTGCAGGAATGATTCATTTTCTGACCTTGTGCAGTGGGGTAAGGGTGATGTCTCTGAACCATTTTTACAGTTTTAAAAAAATCAGTGAGTGACATGGAAAAAGTTAAATCACAGCACTAAAAAAATGAACTGAGATAATGAGTGTAGTTAGAAATTTATAAAATAACAAAAAAAAATCTAAAATGTTTGAATTGTGCTTGTAGGTAATGTGATCATTGTGAAATAACGAGGAGATGTTACCAAAGTGAGAGTGATACTCAGGTCTTGCACAGAGCAGAGCCTCTGGCATGTAGGTGGAGGGAACACCCAAAAAACACCTTTACAGAGGATCCCCCAAAATCTGCAATGAAATTCCATCCCCCAGGCACAAGGAGAAATGGTGTTTCCAATACATTATATGCAGATGCTGTGAATTAAGATGTGGACAGTGTGTTGATAATTGAAAATTGTATATTAAACAAGAACAAGCCTCTAGTTAAGTATGGATGTAAGATTAGTCTTTCAGATTGCATTTTAGTGGATGTGCACAGATCTGCATCTTTTTGAAATAAACATATTTTTTCCCTTTTGATATTTACTTCTCTTCACTAGTCCCTTTTTTTCATATGTGTGTAGGCTTTTAAAAAATAATTGTAAAAGTTGATCTTTCTGATGCTTCCGTAAAATACAGTTTATATAAATAGATGTAAGAATAATCAATCTCAAAATGGTTTTATGGGTTTTTTGAATCAAAAAATATTTAGATATTTTTAATGTTGATTTGCTGTCTTTAAACTACTCTCATGATATTTCCTGTGCATTATCACACCCATAGTATGTCGACTTCCATAATTTTTCCTAATTACTTGAGCATTGACATAGATAAAAGGTGGATATTTTTTAAGGGAACAAAACTAAAGGGAGGATATGGTTATGCATCTGAATTTACCATTTTATTGAAATGATGCATTTTTCTTGTAAACCCAGCAGGTAGATTGGGTTATTTTTAGGTTCTGAATTGCTGCAACACTGTTGTAATTCTGGAGATGATATTTGTGAGGGATTCATCGAACTTTAACTGTGAATAAATGGTTGTCTAGAAAATGCTAGTTCTTTAAGCGGGACAGATTGATGCATTACTGGCCAGCACAGGTGTTGGAGGCAGATGGGGGAAATTAATTGCCTGCTGGAATTTGCTGTCTTGCTGCCCAAGCAGCAGCAGGAGTTTCGATAACCAGACCTTACGTGCTGTGGTGGGTGGCAGATAGGTGAGATGAACCCCACATTGCCTTGAGAGCAACGAGTGAGTCACTGTATACATCCCTTTTCAAAAGCAGGAGTGTTGTAAGTGTGCTGACTTAGGGATGCAAATGAGGCAAGGCTTGTATGGGAAGTAGTGCCATTTATTAGATCAAACTGATAGAAAATAAAGAGCTCTCTGAAGAGATGTTTTTGTTCTGATCTCTTCTGTTCAAGACAGGGTGTTTCTGTCTCCTCTTTTTCCCCACTTGTCTTACTTTGAATATATTTAATGTTCAAACTCTTGATGATATAAGTTAGAAATACAATGCTGTAATTCAAAGATTGTCTAGCATAAGAATAGACCAATACCTTTTTTAATTTCTTTGAGATGAGGATCCCTCCAATTTTTATTTCCTTGCCAAATTCTTCAGGTCACATCTGACATTTCTCCCTGTTGGATAAAGTTACAGTCAACCACAATGAAGATCAGTTGTCTTCTAAGCTGGATTACCTTATCTTTTGTTCTTATTCCTTGCACGTTTGTAAACTAAGGATATATAAAGTTTGTCTTTCCAGTTCTTTGGAGGATCTAGCTAAACTACTTCTATTCATTCACTTTCTCATGACATTTCCTGGATATTTTGATTTAACAATTTATTAATCCTAGTTGTAAGCAAGAGTGGTTCATGGAGTAGTTTGGGCATCTTGCAGAGGTTCTCAATGAGGTGTGTTTTATCTATGGAGGGCTGACTTGTTCACTCAAGTCTCAATGGAGTTGTATAATCCACCTTATTCAGCTCACAATGATGATTCTGCAAAGAGCGAGGGAGGAACAATGAGAATCCTGTTTCTGCACTGTCATTTCTGGTCTCTTGTGTTCTACCTGTTCTCATGCCTACATTGTGTTGCTCACCTCTCTTCAGTTTAAAAAATACCTGCCATTTCCCAGTGATCACTCCTGATCTTGCAATGGTTACCCGACTACCACCTTCAACGATATTGTTTCCATGTGCTGTTCAGCCATCTTCCCACTGATGATTTTCTTTTTAATCCACCACAGTAATTTTCCTAGTGCTCTTGTACACTAAGAACAGATTAAGAGATTACACAGGCTTTTCTCAAATGACTCATTCCATAATTTAACTAAAAATCTTTAGTTGTCTTGTTCTGAAGCCAGGAGGATAATTTTGCTGCTACACAAATAGAGTTTGTCCTTCTGGAAGAGTCATGTTCCTGTGACTGCTTCCAAGTGGTCAAACTTCCTCATGGTGTTTTAGAGCACCTGGAGACCTCTTTGGTATTACTGGAATTTCACTAAGGCGCTAAGCCAGCTATATTGCTACAAACCAAAAGAAGTTACCTCTAAAGTGTCCAGGGAAATAATTTACTGTAAAATTTCCTTCTGCATATCCACTATCTCTTTGGGATCCCTAAGAGAGGAGAGTCATCCTGCTCTTTTCTTTGACAGGTGTATAAATTGAAGAGTAAGAGTACCTGGGCAAGGAGGAGATTCATTGAAAGAAATAAATCTCCTGTGGTGCATGTAGGAAAGTAGGAATCAATCAAAGTTTAAAAGAAAAAGAGGTGGATATTCTACACAGATTGAATTAATTACACGCAGAAAAAAAACTTTGTTCTCTGTGGAAGCCATGTGCCTTCAGAAAGTAAAAAGGGCAGTTAAAGAAAGGGTACATCTTCTTCAGTTTCAAATATTATACCTTTGAATCAATGATGGATGAAGTAAAAACATTTCTGTTTTTTTCAAAACAGTAAGATTCTGTTTGCAAGAGATACCAGTGGACAGCATTCTTTATCCCTGAGTGATGGAAAATACCAGTATGTTATGTGTTTCTTATCACACAATTTCAATGTATTTTTCTCCTCCAAGAATAACTTTGACTTCTTAGCCCTGGCTTTGGAAATATGTGGGTTTATTTCAAATTATTTCATGATAATGCTTTTCTTTGACATGTTTTCTTTGTTCTGTATCTGAATACCAGCAAAGCCTGTTATCAAGATGGGAAACACAGAAAAGCATTCTTTTTGCTGAATCTCTGAATAATTTCTGCATCTTTACCTGTGCAGTCTTGTAAATGGAACTGCTACATCAAAGAATTAATCTAATGTGGATGTTCAGGCTTTCAGGTGGCATGGAGAGCACCTGAAAATTTATGCTAATTTATGTGGGTTTGGAAAAGTGTTTCTGGTTTTTTCTTGTACGCAGAGATGTTCAAAGTATCTTATCCTTGGTTATTTAGTATCAAATAGCCTCTACCAAATAAAACCAGAATGTATTTTTGGTAAGTGAGGAACAGCAGGTCCTGAAGGGTTTAAAATAGATGACACATGATACCAAGAATAGCCCAGTGCCACTTAGCCAACCTGAGAAACTATTCAAAGAGCAAACCAAAATGGAGGGCAGTTCTATACTCCATGCTTTCACTAACATTTATTTTGCCATTTTTGCTTTGTTTTGCTTCAAGCTTTTAATTAAGATTTCCTTGGCTTTGCTGACCCATTTCTATATTGTTAAAGGCAACAGAAAAGAGGCTGCCAGGATAGCAGAAGAGATCTATGGAATAGTCCCAGGTAAAGTAAAAATATGGACTCTCTAACATTTAGATGTATATTTGCTACATTTTTGTAACTTGAGGATTTAAATCAGTGAGTTGCCATGAAATGAGGAATTTGTTGCTAAATGCATGCGTGACTGTTTTAACCTGAAGTGCCTTCCATTTCTGGGGTCTTTGGAGTGTCAGTATGTGTTGGCATGATTTAGGTGTGCAAAATATGAGACTCTGGCTAGAATGAGAACAACATTTGCTCAAGGCACTATGGTAAATAAAAAGATTGTTCTCGGAAGCAAGGCATTCTTTAGCAGTGGTTACAGATGGTTTTACTAAATATCCAGCTTTACTGCCAGAGAATATTTAGGGAAAAGTTTTAGCACACTGATTTTTTGAAAGGAGATGCTAGGAGGATATAACTAATGACTTCATGAATCCAAGCCAAGAATCCTTGTTTTTTGTAAATCAGATGATAAAAATGAATGCAGCTAAAATTGTTCTGAAAAATATATGGCACATGAATATATTGTATTTTGTAGGTTATTTAGTAGGTCATGGTTTTGTTTTTTTCCAAGTTATTTTACTCCTTCACATCACTGCCATAATAATGAGCAGACGTGTGTTTGCATGCCTGTTAATTCCACTAATTAAAATGACACAGTATTTTAAATTTACTGCTAATGAGGACTTATTTTTCTAGTTGAAGATTCTTATCAGCCTTGTGACATCACACATTTTTATGTGACTCATTTGTTTGGCACTTGCTTCATGATGGATTGTGCCATCATGAACAGGCACATGAAGAGGAGCAGAACATGAGTGGTGCGAGATGACCACTCAAAACAGAGAGATTAAGATCTGACCAAGAGAAATACTGCAGCCAACCATGTTTTACAAAGCCTTTATGAAGCCTGTATATATACAGGCATGTCTTGGCTGTTAATTTATTTTTATTCTCCAGAATATAATTTCTCTTATTTATTACTGTCATTTTTTATCAAGCACCTTTATGCAATCATAGTCAGACTTGGCAAACAGCAGTTTTTCCTTCATGCAGGTTCTTATTGAGATGCCTTCAAATTCAGCAGGCCATAACATATTTTTATTGCAAGTTACCATTTGCAAAAATCCACCAAGGATAATCTTACAAAATGCAAGATCATGTGATACTGTTGCTGGGGCACTATATTGTATTACAGTCAGAGCTTTGCAGCATTTCTCCTTGCAGTGAAGTAGCACAGCAGCAGCAGTGCTTGATTTATCCATAGACATTTAAAAGGAGAGTGCTTTCAGTCATGTCGCTCACAGCTGTGAAGGGAAGATGTGCCCCATATGGGAACTATATCTGCCACACGTTTCAGGGAGGTAGGTTGTGGTGGCTGGCATGGAACTGTGCAGCAGTTGTCATGGTGTGTTGTCATGGCGAGGGATGTGTGTGCATACACATGCATTGGAAATGCACTCGCATGTGTTACACTTCAGGCTTACAAGGTTAAATAAGGCACTGTAGCTCTGTTGTCTGAGTTACTTCTGAATCTTCCTGCTGTATAAGGGCTCTGGGCTTTGTCACTTACAATGTCTTGATTTTCTGAATTGAGCTTGCCTATTTCAGTCACCAGCATGACGGGGGGTATGGGGTATTTTGGATATTTTCAGGAAGTGTTTCTCTCTCAACCTGCTTGGTTCTTGTTTCCATCATTTTGACTGCTGAGTTCTACCTGGTCATTCAGAGCCTTGTCGTATATTATGCCAGCTGGTCTTTCCATTCCAGCTTCCTGCCTTAGGAGCCTAGGAACAGCTCCCTACATAAATGGAAATAAAAGTAATAGTTATAGTTAAAAGCGTAACCCCATGAGCTCAAGTGCATCCTGCCTCTTGGCTACACAGAAGGAAACTCTCTTGGCCAAAAGTGAAACCTCTGCTGTGTCCTTGGCCTCAAGTCCCCACGGATATGTCTGTGCCTTTCATTGATTTCTCACTGCCTTGGGTATCATTTGAAATGGAGATAAATCACCCTTTCCATTCTCTCTGGTGTGGCGTAGCTGAAAAAATTAAACAGGACAAGAGTTTCAAATAAGTGCCCATGGGGTTGCTGTACAACAGAGGATGAATGCAAACATTGGTGTTGCTTCTGTCCTGTGGCACTGCAAATGCAGCTGGCCTTTGGAGAAATACTTACCACCCACTGTTGTGGCATGGTTATAAATTTTAATATGTAACAAGAAATTTTTCTCTCTACTTGAGTGGCAGGGATTTAACCTTGGGTGGCTGTATATGCCTGTAAGTAGTAGCTATGATAAAGAATTTTTTTTCTTAGCACATAAATAGATTAAGATAAGAAAAAGGGCAAGACTACATGAAGGAGTCCAAACAGTTCAACATCTCAACATTATTAAAGAAGAAAAGTAAAACCTCAGGCAGAATTTGTTTCTCCATGCATTTTCTAAAATCTTTCAGTGAAGAGGATGATGAAATATATTACCTGGTAGCCTGAGATGGAGGATGTTATTTATGAAATTGTCAGTTCATGAAAAAAAAACTCACAGGGACGTGTCAGAATTCATTTGATGGACAAGTCATCCCCATGTCTCCCTGCTATGCATCTCTTAACTAAGTGCCAGGGAAGCTGAGATGCTATTTGTGTCAAAAGCTCCCTGGGAAAGGAGGAGGCTGATATGGTTTTGAATAGGAGAATTGCAGGGTTCAAAAGTCTCCCCATTAGACCCAGCAGCACTAAACTTGTGATTTTTGCTGAAGCATGTTTTTAGCTGTTCTATTAAAAGTTCTGCCAAGAAGCTTTTGTTTAGGTCCCTTAGTGAGCAGCCAGCTTTCTCAGGATTGCTGAGCCCTCAGCTGCTCTACTGAAATCAATTTATCAAACAGTTTCACCACTGACCCCACATTGATTTTAGTCCTGATCTGCATTTACACGAGGCTGTGCTTCCCCTGTCCTCCTGGGATCTGCCTCTGCTGCTCACCTGAATTAGCTTCCATGCATTTGCTGTTTCAGGCAGCTGGGCAGACCGATCCCCTCTTCATGACGCTGCCTTCCAGGGACGCCTCCTCTCTTTGAAAACCTTGATTGCACAGGTAAAAGCCCACAGGTAAAGAAAAGATTGGGAAGCAGGGTGGTTTCGCATGATTTGCATCTGTGAACTGGTAATAGACTGTATCAGGGCATAAGAAATATGGCTGTATGAATAATATATCAGCACAAATGCTTTTGGGCATGTATTAGTTTGCTTAGTTAAGATGCTGGGGACAAGCCCAGGACAAAGACTATTACAGCTTGTAGCTTGCTATATGATAAACAATGATCCTTGTGCTCTTTCTCAATGATACACCATCAAACTGGGTTCGAGAATAGGGACAATAAATATATATAAACTATAAAAAAAAAACAACAGTAGAAAGCTATAAAAGTGCATATTGCTTTATATAAAGGGAGAGCTGTCAGCCTGAAACCTTCTGCTCCAAATGGAACCAGAAGAAAGAGAGGAGGAAAGAATACACTAGAAAAGACAAGAAGCTGGATATGAAAAGGGATAGGTTATGGTTCTTCATGCTTTGCCAACTGTCTTCCTTACCACTTTGATTAAACTCAATGTCCTCATCTGGCATGAATGGTCAACTGTCATCCCTCTTACCCCTTCCCCCACAAGGCAACTGCAGAGAAATTAATTCCCTGAGTGTAAAGCTCTATGACTTGGCCATCAGACCTTTTATAATCAGGGTAAATAATTTTTACAAATGTGGCCACAGCTCGAATGGAGAACATCCTCAAGGAGTGGAGCTGCCGGTGTAAAAGCCTCCACTCCAGACTTATATTGAACTGCAGCTAAAAGATGTTGCTGTTTATGGACAGTATATTTTTATGGAAAAGGAAGTGGTGGAGGTTAGGGATTAAAAAAAAGAGGGTTTATTCACTGAGGGATTTGATGGTTTTCTGACCCTCTTTATCTCCACTTATGCTGACCTTACACCATCTGATTAGTGGAGCACCGGGAGTTGTGGTTATTCACTAGATGCCCTGGTTATGTACTGGTCACGGTTATACACTGGAGAAGCACGCAGTGTTATGGTTATACATCATTTAGTTAATCCACCCTTTTTCCTTCTCTTGAAGACATTTAATTTTTGGAGTTAAGGATGAGGGTCCTTGCGGATGAAAAGAGATCAAGGCAGCAATGTCTGTAGAGCCTGAATTGGAGCTGATTCACCACACCTTGATAAATGTAAGGACAAATCTGTTCATGGATCAGCACAATCATTGCTCATTGCTTCTAATATAGTTACACTACTAGCCTAAAATTAAATATTGGACTATACTTGAGTATGTATGGGACACTCAGAAGTCTATGGAAAGACCATAGCTTTCAAGAAAGCAGTGAGGCGTTGGCTCCATAGGGAATGCCTGGACATAAGGAGATTATGTAGTGCTGGAGATTGAAAAGAGCTCAAGAACTCACCCATGCCTGTTTCAGCACCCAAACAAGAGTTTGATTTTTCATATACATTGAAAACAAGGTTTAACATGAGCAATGTTTGGCAAACAGCCACAGTAAGATCTATAACTCATTCTCCATTTCCTAATGGAAGAGATTGCTGTTTTGCCCAAGATATCAGTACTTATTCTTTCACTTGCAATGACTGAGTTTTATTTGTTAAATATATACGTATATATATGTGAATAATGATTGAGAATAGGTCTCCTTAGAAATCTCTAGAAGACATTGATCTTGAAGGAATATGCTGATCATTAAGTAGGAAACAATTATACAATTAGAAAATGGAATCATCTCAATATTTTTTCAAGGTTTTATCTATTCTCCTGGTACTATTGTAATGCATGGAAAATTTTAACGACAGCTTTTACGTTACTAATATTTTCACATGACCTAAACCCGATTGTTTTTCTATCATAGAATGCCTAACCCAAAGTGATACAACGGTTGCTTTTAATACTCATGACGTCAGGACTGATGACTTTTTTACAGTGTTATGCTGCTCCCAGGTATTCATTTCTGCCCATCCCAATGAGTACTGCATATCAAAAAGTGCATTGCTGCCATCTTGTGAGCTGTCCTGTCTATAGCACATCAGGTGGAGACAAACTGCGTTTCAAAACATGCCATCAAGCGGAAAACAGAGCTGCTTCCAGGCCTGGTTGTAAAATCTTAATTATCAGGAGATTTAGTTGCATTCTGGGGAAAACACACATGACTGTCATTTTGTCCTTTGTGAATATGTCTGGTTTGTCTTTGTGCAGGAGTAGGTGTGGCAACTGTCATTTAGGTAAATACTTGTACTAATGTGTTTGTAAATCACGCTGTTCTTTCTTCCAGTGTAAAACATTTCCTGAGTGGTCTAATAAGAGGAACTGATCTGTGGGTGAGATTTGTCTCATCTATCTCATAGGTTTACGAAGTACTTACCAAATCTGAGGGAAACAAACTAGGTACTCCTTATATTCAATGAAAAAACCTTTAAGACATAATTAATCTGACCTACTAGAAACAGCTGCCTTAGCACGGGATGAATCATATCTTAGGGATACGTCCCTACTGAAGGAGCTGCCAGCTCCAGCCGAGCTGTTGATACTTGTGCCAGAGGCATCCTCATTCAGGGAGGTGAATCCTACCAGCTGTAGCTCCTGGTGGTGGACTTAATGGGGGGGTAATGGCACCCTTAGAAGTTTAAGAAACATGATGTCTTTCCTGTGATTGACCGTGCATCATAAACACACTAGAAACAGAAGGCATAGCTTGTCCTTGCTTCTTTTTTCACCCCATCACCAGCTGTGGTATGTGGGGACAAGAACTAAAGCACTGAACAGCACTAATCCAAGCCAAGCACCTTCCCTGGACACGCACCCAGTGACATGATGCTCTCCAGCCATGGTCCAACTGCACCCATGCGAGCTCTGGGGGAGCTGTGTGGTTTGTGTTTTCCCCTCACACCCTGACCCTGCATTGCAGGGTTTCAACGTGAACCTGGTGACGACGGACCGTGTGTCAGCTCTGCACGAGGCTTGCCTGGGCGGCCACGTCGCCTGCGCAAAGGTGCTGCTGGAGAACGGGGCCCAGGTGAGTCCCGGGGAAGCCAGCTGGGACAAGGGCACCTGGAACTCAGGTGCTCCCTGCATCAATGGGGATGTTGGACAGGCTGTCTGTGTGGCAGGGCCAAGATGCAGATGTACAGGAGCATCCCAGATAGAAACGTGGAAAAATAAAACAGTGCTTTGTTTCCATGGGTGATGGATTTGCCTTCCCCTTGTGTCACATCATTATCCTCTTTTGTTTTCCTTCTGTGTGTGAAACATAGTTGTGATTGATGGAAAAGGAATGAAAGATGCTAGGTGAAAATAACCTTGAAAAAGTAACTTATCCCTTCCCTCCCCCCACCCCGTAATGATATCTGGGATTACCTCTGGTTTTCTGTGGGATGGTTTGGAAGTCTCATGTAATTAAAAATAGATGTTCTTGAAGCAATGAAACATTTTATCTGCTAATAAAATAATAATTCCCACAGTTGGACCTGAGGTAGAATACATGTTAACAATGGAGATAAAGGAATGGATGAAATATGTAAGAATATTTTTATTTTAGCTGCATTTCAAGTACAATTTATATGGCAAGAAACTGAGCAACACCAAAACAGGCAATCAAGCTATCCTCTGCAGAAGAAAACAAATTTGTTGACTTTCTAAACTCTATGCCAAATTTTAATCCCTTAGAGGGATAAAAGGAAAACCCCTTTCTAATCAGTTTTACTTGATTTTGGTATATTAATGACATTGCCTTTTTATAACTCAGAGAATCATTTCTGAACTCTCTGTTGCTTTCCTAAGAAATCAGCCTATTCCTGGTGTAATACATATCTCCAGTGTTTTTTGGTTTTAGCTTTCCCCCCCACTCTCTGTTCATAAATAAAGTCAACAGGCTGTTTTGTAACTTCTGAAAGAACATATGCCAATATGCTGCTCTCCTTTTTTTTTGCTGTGCTTTCCTTTATTTCCCTATGTTACCAAACCATTCACTCCACAATGGCTCTTACCATTCTCTCCTCTTTCACCGGTTAAACCAATGCCCAGTGAAGAGGGAAACCAAGGAAGTAATTTTTCTTTTTCACTTATCTCCTTGCTTACCCTTGGTTACCAGCTTGCCTGCACTGCTGTCCCTGTTGTGAAGTGATGCTGATAGACCTCCAGTGCCTCCAGCAGCTCCAGCCACATCTGCCTGATGAGACTGGGGGGAGGTGGGGGGCAGTGGAGATCCATACAAATTGGCACATGCTTGCATAATCCATTGCTCTTCTCTGGTGTGCCACAGAGTTAGAGACATGCAGATTTGCTGCATGAATAGCTTTTGAGGGCTTGCTAAACACAAGCTGAGGGCTGTTAAACACAGCGTAAACAGGCACGTGGTGGGATTCTTGGGGTGTCCAGCATAGGGCCAGGAGTTGGTCCCTTCCAAATCTGCATATTCTCTGATTCTACAGTTCTGTGATCTACAGCACGGAGCACAGCACAAGCCAGGGATGCTGCTGTCCCAGCGGAGAATAGTGACAATGGTTTTTGCCAGGTCATTACATTAGAGGTGGGGGAAGGAAATTGTTTCTCTCTTGCATAGACACGTGCATATGGACTCTTTCAAGCTCTTTTTCTGTTTGGGATTAAGACTATGTTTCTGTGAAAATTTCTTTTGCCGGAAACATGTTTTTGGGTGAAAGTATTAAATGTAAAGTAAATGTTTTCATTTAAAAAACAAAGCCATTTTCATCCGACGCTGTTCTACCTTGAGGCCAGATCAAACTATACTGCACCCATTATGGGTGCATACGGTTATGAAGATATTCAACTTCTCCATATAAAAAAAATAATGAAAAAAATTGCATTTTTAGCAGCTCCAGGAGGAGCATTAATAGCAGGCAATGTCACTGCCTTCTGGCACTAGTTATCTGGGAAAGAGTGCAAACATCAAAGGAGAATGTTATATATATGTCACAACATATAACTCAGAAAGTTGTAAATAAGATAATTTCTGAAATTACACATGACAAGACTCTCATTCTGGTGCATTTCTGGTGTGTACATGAGGCACGGTCCAAGGGCGTTCCTTTTAAATTGGATTATCCTGAGTGTATCTTGCCATTCCAGGTCAATGCAGTCACCATTGATGGGATCACCCCACTGTTCAACGCCTGCTGCAGTGGCAGTGCAGCGTGTGTCAACATGCTGCTTGAATTTGGAGCCAAGCCACAGCTGGGAAACCACCTTGCTTCGCCCATTCACGAAGCAGTCAAGAGAGGTAATGTTCAGGGTGTGAATGCAGCTAACAATACCTAAATGAGGAATGCATCTTTCACTGATGACAAAATATTTTAAATAAATAACTTCCATACCAGTACAGATAAATAGGCTTAGCTTTTTTGCAGCTCTTGTTCCTCATAGGTTGTACCTGGGTGTGTTCTGCTCTGCAGCAATTCAATAACTCTTATCTCCGCAGGTCACAGGGAGTGCATGGAGATCCTTCTGGCTCATGAGGTTGACATTGACCAAGAAGACTTGCAGCATGGGACCCCTCTCTACGTGGCTTGCACATACCAGAGGACAGACTGTGTCAAGAAGCTTTTGCAGCTAGGTACACCTGAAAAGTGGGCCAGGGGAGAGCTATGGTGGTGTGAGCCAGTGCTTCTGGTCTCTCTGAGCTGCATCTCCACTGCAAACATCATGGGTTATTTCCACAAGTGGTGTTTGGGCAGCCTAAGTCTGTGAGACTCTTCTGAGGATATTAAAAATTTCACCTGCATTGATGAAGAAATGATGATTTCCTCAGTTAAAAAAAAAAGGCTGTAATTACATACACCTCCCTGGAGCTATCTGAATGTGAAAATAAAATTCTTTTACTTTTCTAGAATGATAACAGGAAGCACAGAAAATGCTGGCTAATATTACTGACCAAAATCAACTCTTGATTATGATAAACTGCCATGTTAAACATTAAATTCACCTATTTCTCAGGGGATGATGAAGGCAGCAGTAAAGCTGCTTGGAAGAATAATCACTGCAGGTCCAGGAACAGCCTCTGAGCTAGCATAAATTTTTTTATCAGTGTACATTACCTGACTTACACCTGCTTGAAGTGTGGCCCCGCTGTGCCTGGCCAGGCTAGGGCAAGCGTTTTGCTTGCTGTGCTCCCAGAGTTATTACAATGAGATACCTAAAGGTTTTGGGTTTTTTGTTTGGTTGGTTTGGTTTGGTTTGGTTTGGTTTTCCCTCTGGTAATTAAATTAACATAATCCATGTTAGATTTTATGCTATTGACAAATTTAAAGAGCGTATGGTAGACTTTGAACATCTGTTGGGTTGAAGGTCAAGCTGCTCAGTTCTGACCGTCGCAGACAGGGTTTGGTGGCCTAGAGGACTCTGACAGTGCAGGTATTTGACCTGATGAGTTTTGCACAGCTGCTATTGAGAGAAAGGAGTGAGTCCTGTGTGCTGTCTGTCTCCTTCATTTATTGAGGCTACTGGTGGAAACCAACCTGTGTTATGTGGGTTCTGACAGTTCCTGCTGCCTCCCAGATCTAACCATGAACTCTTGTTCACTCAAGGAGCCAACGTTAACATGGGGAAGCGATTAGACACCCCCCTCCACGCAGCAGCAAGGAAATCCAGTGTGGAGATAGTTGTCTTGCTGACAGACTATGGCGCTAACCCAAAGTGCAGAAATGCTGAACTCAAATGTGCCCTGGACCTTGCCACACCCAACAGCAAAGTGGAGCAGGCACTTCTGCTTAGGGAAGGTGATGATTTCCTTTCTTCTTTTATTTTATTTTTTTTAGTAAAGCAGTATTTATTTTCTTTACCTAAGTAGATTTTCTTGACAGCTTTTATAAGTAATGCTCTATAAAAGTTTCCTTCTGCCTTACCTGCTCTGCTGCTTTCAAACTTGCAGCCCATGACAGAAATGACTAAGAGAATTCTGTTTTGTTGCTAGATCTGCCATGTAGTGCTAAGGTTTTAGTGGATAAATTGTTCAGTTTTTCTGTGTTTTCATTTCCTGTCTACTGAAGGAAAATCATACGTATTTACCTATCAGGACTCTAAGGGTTAAAACCTACTGTAAAAGTTTATTCAAAGATAATATTTTAGTACCACCATCTAGTATTCAGCCCAGTACTGTGGGTCAATGTCCTGCTTCCTGCAGAAAAAGTGATGTGAGTGTGTGTGTCCTTGACTGCCAGGAACAAGCAGAGCTGTTTGCCAGGTGGCTATTCAGCTTCGCAGCACGCAGCAATTCCATGTGGTTCATGGGGCTGCAATCCCAGCACAGACAAGCACTGCCCTTTGCAGCTTACCTTTAGCCTTCTTGCAATTAATTATCTTTCCAGTCTACTCAAAAAACTTCTGAGTAGAAATGAATGCAGATCCTCCTGTGCCTTTTTCACCTGCACCACATTTGGCCAGAACTTGATGCATCCAATAACGATAGCCCTGTGATATGGACTTGCTGAACTAATTTCCCCCCCTTCCTCTAACCTCCGTGTTTCCCAGCTCACTGGTACCCTGTTAGTCAGTCTGTGCCTGCCCCGAGGCTTTGCTCATGCAGAAGATGAATGGTGCTCCCCCATGCAGTCAGCCTAAACCTTCCCAACCCACCAAGGACCAAAGCATGATGTGCACAGAGGGCCCACTTCCAAACAGCTCTTGGATGGTAAATTAATAATTGTTGGTGTTACACACAGGTTTTACTCCAGCCCTTGAACACCGGTTGGCTTTATGGAGAAAATGAAACATTGGCTTAATATCCTTCTGTCCTAATCCCTTTCTCGATAACTTTTCATGCAGAGGTTTAATTTGCCATGTCGAAAACCTTCTGGAAGGACTTTTGCTTGAATGTTTCTTACCTCTTGGGACTGCTGTCCCTGTATCTGAGATGCTCAGATGTGTGAGCAAAAGCAGTGCTGGCAGTTGTCCTGCTGCAGCTCCCTGTGTGAACCAGAGACTGTGGAGATAAAGAAATAGCCCAATATTAATAATTTTCTCTTCCTGAACTTTTCTTTTGATTTTAACTCTCAGCTTGTCACACTCTCCTCCCTTACAGTCAGAGGGACTAGAAAGTCACTTTCACATACTTTGCTATGTCTAACATGCAACTTGCCTTTACCCCTACTTCTATGTTTTCTGAGGTCCTTCTGTTTGAAATAAGCATCCCAGTTGAAGAGTTTTCCTATCTCCAACTTCTCCACTGTGGTTACTTAGATGACTCCATTTAATTGCTCCCCTTACTATTAAGTGATGTGAAATATAAACCATGTCTATTTTCCTAACTACTCTGGGAGATGATAGCTTCTTTCTTTACTTCCAATCAGTAGAACAAGTGCTCTTTTCTACATATCTCATATTTTTCTATTAATTACTTCTCAGAGGGGACATTATCAGCCAGTTTAAGCTACTTTCTTGCAGTAAAAGGACAGATTATGAAGCTTATCTGTAAGATATAAGGACGGGCCTTTAAGCACACATCTCTACCTGTAAAACTCTGCTGTGATTGCTACTGTTTGGGCAGAAACTGGAGTGGCAGGGCTAAGACAAGGTTCAAAAACTGAGCACCTCTGGGCAGGTGTAAAAGTTTCTCTTGGAACAGCTCCAGCAAGAGGAAAGCAAAAGAGGAGCAGGGACACATCCATTAGCAACTTGCATTTGCATGTGCAAACATGTAGTTGCAGAAGCAATGGAGCCTCATATCTGGTGGGTTTGTGCCTGGCATGCCCCTCACCTGACCCATGGTGGGTGTGGTTGGGGTAGCTCCTGGTCTCCCTGCAGGGAAGCCACAGGGGCAGCACTGCTGTGGGCAGTGCTGTGCCCAAGCTGACCTCACCATTGTCTGGATGAGTTATCTGGCAGTTTTCCTACCAGTTGACCCTCTGATGTTTAACAAGAGCTTTTCACATAAAGCAACCTTTACCCCGGGGGCCTAGGGAAGGACAGAAAGGCCTCTCATCTTGGTAGTTTTTTGGATGTGGGTTTTTTTTTCCTCTCGATGTCTTTTTGCACAAAACTTTTGAAACTTTTTATCTTTGATATGCTTTTCCCTCAGTCAGACTTAGTAAAAATTGGATTACATAGTAAGAAAATATTTTGAGGAGCACTGATAGACTGACTGACATACATGTTCAGAGACAGTGTAGTCATATAAAAAGGCTAAGTTGCAATTACTGTTTGTGCAGGTACCTTCTGAGACACCAGCAGTTGGAAGAAGCACATTTTATATATGTGAACAACTAACTGTATTTATCCTGTATCTTTATCCTTGCAAAATTGCTGGGAGTTGTCTTATGTCCCGATCAAGGGCTATGTATCCCAGAGCTCTCTCTCTCCAATGCAGACAACTTTATGGTATTTTAAGTGTTTGCTCAAGAAAAGATGCAGAAAAGCCTAGCAGTGCATATAGAAAAAGGATTTTTATGATCACAGTTTTCAAATTGCTGAACCAACTTTGACAACATAAATTAAATATGAACAATAATCTATTTAGCCATCCCTGACTTCAGTAAGTCACTGTGTAGTGCTTGATCTGATTTGCAAATCTTGCTGGTGTTTGTTGCTTTGGCTTATACTGCTGATGGGGTTGGGGGTGCTTATTCTTGCCTTTTCTTTTCCTCCCAGGTCCCGCCAGTCTTGCCCAGCTGTGCCGGTTGTGTATCAGAAAGCATCTAGGTCGGTCGTGCCTATATACAGTCCACAAACTGCGCCTGCCTGAGCCGCTTGAGAACTTTCTCCTTTATCGATAAGTCTGTGACTGTCTTTATACTGGAAAAGAAAGAGGAACAAATGGTTGTTTACTGTAAAATTATTATAACAAAGGAAAAAAATCAAAGGCATCATGTACTGTCTACTGCGGATACCAAACATGAGCTGCTGCGTGAAAGTGCAAATTGAAAACACCTTTTCACAGGCAGTGAATGATATCGTGGATACAGTTCCCTCACGGTCTGTTGCCACATCCACTTACACCAGCCTGAGAGTTGTAAAACATGAACAGCTCTTGACATGTGTTTGACATCTTTGTAGATGCACATGCACACCTTCATCTACTACCTTGCCCTGCCCCCTCTTCCCCTCCTCCCCCCCCCAATTTTCTCTGCATTTAGGGCTATATTTATTTGTGGAGTATCTGTGCAGTTTCTTTCCCTTGTCTATCCAATCTCAATGTCAAAATCAAGGTAATGGCTGTTATTCTTCCACCAGTGTGAGAATGAAAGCTTTCAGTGCTGAACTTCAGCTGTACATAACATATTGCACATCTTTTGTCAGATTTGACTTCACATCCTTTCATCTCTTTCCTATAGTCTAGTGGAGTCCTAGCAACTACCGGCAGGCTCTGGCTGTCCAGACACTGTACATCCCTGAGCCCAGCTGCCCCCAGCACTAACACATCTTGTCCATGGAAGTGCAAGTGATGTTACCAAAGCAAGAGCACAGGTTTGGAGTAAACCCACAAAAATGTGTGAAAGTCTTAAAAAACCCCACCCTTCATCTCTTCTGAAAAAAAATCCCTCCAAAGCTCCTATCACCTCAGATCTGGCTGTGTTCATTTCATGAACAATTTTTCTTAGCTTAATTCCAGGACAGAACAGTAAATGTTTTCACAGGCATAGTAGGTGAGATTTCAATGTCTGTCATTTGCAAGGTTTAAAGAAAAGCAAAGGAAGAAGTGTTGCATTTTTGGGCTTTGCATGCTCTGACATTCCTCAAGATAAATCCTTGGACTGTAGAGCAGGAGTGAAGCAGGACCACTAAAGATGGCATCACCCAAATATTCTCTTTGTTGTATTTTCTTCACCAGGACAGGTTTGCAGGCTTGTCAGCTCCCTCCCTGTTCTAGAGGCTTTCGTTACTTTTCTGGGAGAAAGGATTTTTAGAGTGTTGTAACTTTGTCCGTTGTGGTATTAATTTAAATAAATAACATCAGGGTTAGTAGTTTGGACACAGCAAAGCTGAAAACATGAACCTCTTTGAGCTGAGAAATGTGTGATCTAGTAACTGATGCAGTGCCGGTATTACTCTGTAAAGGTTTGTTTATTTTTCCTGTGGAGGTTGTTCTGAGGGGAGAAATGTTTTTTCAGAGCTAGGTTTTGGTAAACTTCTGCCATGAGACAGGCAATGATGTTTCAGTAGTTGTAGTAAAATGGGAAGCTGAGTTAAAAGAAGGGTCTTTCTCCACTTTGCTCAACTTCACAGGTCCAACAGGCTGCTGACAAGTTTTCAGGCTGTGAGATGCAGAGGTTTCATTATGAGTTCGGCACGCTGGTACTAAGTTTCACCGCCCATACAATCTTAAGTCAGGGGGCACTGACCTGCTGGACCCTGAATACAAGATTGGCTTCCAATCTTTGAACCTTTGAGCTCCTGTCCCTCCTCCAGCAGCAGCAGTCTCTCTGGTTTGATGCTCATCCCTTAATGTTACCATGACAGTTTCTCTGAGACAAAGGTCGAACATTTCCTGTACTTCCTTATGATTAATTCAGCACAAGTAAGATAAATTGAGCTCTCAGCAGTTCATGAGACTGGACCTTCAATGTTACAGTCCAAATGAATGCAGTTTTCAGCCTATGTTTGCACATATTGAATGCTATCTGATGGCAAGAGCTATTGCCCATAAAGTTGTCGGTGACATCAATGACCTTGTATAGTACAGTACATCATGAATCTCAGAGATTTGAACACTAAATTCTCCAGAGCCTTTGAAAATCAAATACTATCAAGAAAGAAATGTCTATATTAATTTGATGTCAGCAGACCTCTCACAGTTCTATCTTTACTGCCAACTCACCTGCTCTATTTATAAGGTGGCAGTCAGAATACCATCTGCTATCTAAATAGAGAGACAGAGCCTCAGCTCTGTAGATTGTCAGACTTGCACTGCAATCAAGGAACTAAGGCAATTTCTGGGATCTATTTCAGCCTGTGTAATGCTGAATTGATTTCCTGCTGCAATCATCAGTGAAAGCAGTATTTCACTTGCATAGGATTTTAAATTGAAAAATGTGTCTCCATTAAGGAAATGCAAAGTCTGTTGAGCCTCTCAGGAAAGTTTATGTTAAGAAGCAGCGCAAACTGCCCTATATTTATTCCTGATATTAGCTTCCTATCAAAAGATCACCTCACCTTTTCTTCCTCCTGGTGACATAATTCTTCCTGAAATTCTGTATGTCAGAGAGTCTGTAAGGAACAGAGCCTCAATAAATCAGAAGAGAAGCTCAGAAGTCCTGATGTTAAGTAATTTCCTTAGAAAGTTTACCTAGACTTTCTTGCTCTTATCTCAAAAGATTAAGTTACCAATTTAATTCTCATTGACTATGCTTTGTGTTGTAGCAATGCATGGAAATAGCTGGAGGAAGTATTTAATTTTTTTGTGAACATGCTATATTATGTGAGGATAAGGAAAGACTGTGACAATTTTCTGTGAGACTACTGAATCTTGCTGGTGATTTTTCAGAAAGGGTTTGGAAAACGTCTGTCATGCGTGGATACAGCTGCTTTTCCCTGGGCAGGAGGAGGGCTAACTAATCTCACAGGGTCTCTTTCCTTCAAAACTGGTGGTGTCTTCTCTGTCCTTCCATGATTTGTGACTGAAACCAGTTATTTGGGTAAAATATGGTTTTCATGAGAAGATAGACATTTTTATGTGCTGCTATGTCCACTGCTATACAGCATCCCTATGACTTTACCCCAAACAACTGCCAGTACTGTCTGCTGCAGTGGAAAGTGCTGCATATTTCAACAGGAATGACTGCAAAATATCCTGGCTACTGGGAAAGTTTTTCCACTCAACAGCTGGGATAGTTTTTCCACACAAACTCCCACTGATTCTGAGTACAGACACTGACTTGCAGTGTAAAGCACAAGCTTGGGCTATGGATACTCCCTACCTGTAAAGTCCTTGCTCCTGAGTGTGTTTTGCAGGAGTGGCTTAAATAGGTTACTGATGTGCAATAGAAACCCAAAAGACTTCCTTTATCATTCTCAATCTGTTGGCACACTTTTCAGTTTTGTTAATCATCTCTTATGAGAGATCTAGTGCAGCCTCAGAAAGGCCAGTGATGAGGACCTCACAGATCTCAACCTAATCAGATTTTGACTTCAAGCCATCATTCATTACTCAGTGTATGTCTATGATTGCTCAAGATCCAAAGCAAACCAAAATTAAATGGATCTTTTATCAGCCCTGTCTTTAAAATAAGCAAGCTTCTTGTCAGCATTCTTCCTACCACTAGATGTGTTGTTCTGTCTCCAAAGTTCTTTGAAATCCATTTCTCTTAATTGCTACTGTATTTTTTCTCACACCACTGAGCCCTTGTTCATAAGCATGTCTCTCCTGATCAACTTTCTCCTGAATTCACATATTTCTTCTCTGCCACTAAGAAAATGGTTTTTAGTTTCCTTAGACTGAGAAATCAAAGTCTTCAACAGAGGCATCTTAGTGAGGACCAGCCTTGTTGCATGCATTATTTCCCTGGTTCACCAGGCTGCTGTGCTAGGGTTCTCCACCTCCAAACCTTGCTATAGAGAAGGGTGTACTCCTGAGGCACGTGTAGTGCTCAGAGACTTCTCAGCTCGTGCATCCTTGTGGGAGCAGGTCTGTACTTGTCACCATGTTTGTGCAGTGCTGGAGCAAGTAATTTTGCCATACTTGGTGCTGTCTGGTCCATCTTCAGGCACAGCACCTCCTCTTGCTGGCTGGCTGCACGTAACCAGTTTGCTCTTATGTCTGATCACAGCAAGAGATGAGCTGCTGTTGTTCATGGTTTGCAGTAATTTGTAAAGATAGTTGTGGCGATGCTCCTCTCGCTCCCCCCCTTATTGTTATTTCAGCCTCTCGCCCAAAATCTGACTCAACAGGTTTCCCTGTAGTTGAGAGCAATTTTTCTCAAAGTCTTATCTGTGAGCATTCTGGCTAATGGACCACCTCCTCAGGAACATACAGCAGTGAAAATAAATAGACCAACAGATTTTGGAAGTGTTTAATGAACAATTTTTTCTCAGGGTAGCTAGGAAAAGTTACATTCTAATTTGGCCTCTCAGTTCTCTGCTTTGATCTCCTGACCAGTTTCTTGGATTCAAGGTGACCTCTGTCTCCTACAGTGCAACTCTGCTATTGGCATTCAATCTCTCCAGGATTCAACTTTTCATAAGAGATGTGCCAGTCCCTGAATTTCTGTCTGTCCAGCTGAACCTGCCACTCACAAAATAAAATTTAAAAGGTATGGAAATGCTAGACTGATGAAGCTTGCTGTCATACTATAAGAGCCAAAATTACCCACATCTGCCTTGAGGTGCCAACATCCCACCTTTCTAGGCAGATGCAGACTCTGAGGGACACTACCTGTCCATCCACCTGTGTGCTCTTTCTTCTTGTACTGGCACATGCCTGTGCCACTACAGGCAATGAGATGGGAGGTTCATCTTCTCCCAGCTGTCTTCCCCCAGGGAATTTGAGTCTGGTCAACATCCACTTCATGGCATTTAGATTTCTTCTCACCACACATGCTAGAAAGAAATATTGTGCTGCCCCCATGCAAACCCTTGTGAAAGGGATCAGTGTCCCCTCTGTGCCACTCTCTGCCCTCCACTTGCTGTCTACTGTGCAGGGCAGGAGGGACAGCAGCTGCCTGACACCTTTATGTCCAAACCTGGCCAGTCTCCTGCAACACAACTCTGCTATTGGCATTTAACACCCCTCCAGTCCTACTGGATTGAAAATATAGGTGGTATGTCCCAGCACGGTGTTAGGGCAAGTCTGATCATAACAAAAACAAAACACATTCACTGACTCTTAGTTGAAAAATCTGGCCAACCTATATTCTGGAGTGACAGTTCATTATGCCTTTGTATATTTTTTTTTCAGAAATTAACATTTTCCACATGACAATTGCTCCTCACTGTGATTTTTTTAACCTTCAGTATGAGATGTATAATATATTATTGACAAATACAGATTATTCCATGCAAACCTTCTATGTAATTTCATTTTTATTTCTTGAAAATTTCTTTATCCTTAAATTTTGCACCATTTGTAGACACTCAGGATGCACATTGCAAGCAAATGGAAAATATGTCAGGTTTGGAATTAAAAGATCTTCAATAAAGTGTACCAGGAATTGCAGAAGAAAGCATAATTTGCATATTCAGTTGAGAATAGCATCTGAAAGGGGGGAGAGAGATGAATCAGCAGAACATCTCATTCGAGCATTTTGTTTAACAAGCTGGCCAAAGCAACACATTAGTCAGCAAATCATTGCAACTAATATATACACTTACTAGCAATGGGTTTCACGTGTGACAGATTTTGAACTTACTTTTCAGTGAATTAAACTTATATATTCAGAACTTTCATTCAGAACAATCATAGAAGAGATAAAATAGAAAAAAACCTTTTGTAAATGCCAAAAAAGAGCACATAGTCAATATAACAATTTTTGTTGTTGCTGTACTTACTCTGTGGTATTATCATCTGCAAGTCTGGCTTACTATCACAGTCACAATCACTAATTTGTCTCACTTTCATTCAAGTGTGAAACTGAGGTCTGATAAATACAATTAAGTTCTAGCTAAGTGATTTTGGTATTTATGGTAATGACATATTTAATGCTTTTAGCTACAAGATGTACCAAACTCTGTGGTGTCTAGGAAGGGTAGAAAAAATAAAACTCCCAAACCAGTCTTTGTAGGGAAGGGAGAGTTTAAACCTGTGTTTTCTTGAAACAATCAAATGGAATAATACACAGAGCTTTCTAGTTTTGACCTTTCTCCCAGACGTACAGAGTCAGTGTAAAAGTTCTCAAAATTGTGAGACAAGAAATAGCCTGCCCTTTAATAGTTTTTCTGGCCTGCAGGCTATGGCTGTTTTATCTGATCTTCTCCACAACACAAGCCACAGGACCTCAACCAGTAATGGCCCTAACCGGGACCAGGCACTGGACTACTGCATCTTTTATAAAACATGGAAGTCATGCAGGCTTCCCTGCCCAGATGGCCTCCCTGGGAGCTCCTCTGCCACTGTTGGCACCCCAGCCACTGGGAAGTGGTTGTTTGAGGCTTTGTCTTCTCCTTCACATACATCTGCTGTTGACCAGAGCCAGGAGCTGCTGCCACTGCCAGCAAGATGGTGCACTGTGCCAGTGGGTGGTGCCTGGACAAAGCTTGTTGAGTCAGTGCCTGGGATTCTGGTAACCCAAACTTGTAGACAATAAGATGAAAACTAAGATCAGTAAGGACAAACATTGATATATTGACTATGTGCTGGGTTTTCTGGCATTTGGCAGGTGAATTCCTAGGCACTGGTGATACAGCCAAGAGCAGCCTGAGGAGTATTAGGAAGGATTACAGAGCCCTGGGAGAGGTGATGAGGGACTCAAGGGACTCTGGAGCACAAGAATCTTTTTCATCAATCTTCCTGATCAAAGGGAAGGGGTTAGAAAGGGTCAGTCAAATCTGGTGAATGAACAAACAGTCACAGGACTGGTGCCACAAATGGGGGTTTGGCTACTTAGGACGTGGGACTTGCTTTAAGAAACCCAATCTACTGGGAGAAGTCTGTCAGGGAAGGGGAGGAGCATCTTCAGTCACAGGCTTGCCAAGCTGAGTAAGAGGGCTTTAAGTTACACTTGCAGGAGGAGAGGAACCTCAGTCCATAGCACTTGTACCAGTTTGATGTCAGGGCCAGTAAGAGAAAAACAGAGTCTTATGAGGAATCAAAGGTCAGTAGGAGAGCCCTTGAAGAGCAGCCCAAAAGAATTTCCCCCACTCCAGTCAGTCAGGCAGCTTTATCCAGGGCCCAGCTTAAACGCCTCTATGCAAACACACATAGAGGGAATAAACAAGATGAACTACAGATGTGCACACACCTGCACTGGCATCATGGAGATATAATGGGACGGCTCCTGTGACCAGAATGTTGGAATGGAAGGATACAGGTTCTTTAGGAAGAGCAGGCAGGGGAGATGTGGAGGGGGTGTCTCCTCTATATCAGTGACCAGCTGGAGTGTATGGAGCTCTGCCAGGGTATGGCTGAGGAGCTGACTGGGTCAAGATTAAAGGGATAAAGGGGACACTATAGTGGGACTCTGCTACAGGCCACCTGACCAGGAAGACTGCATGAATGAGGCCCTCATAGACAGACAGGGGCAGCTCACGTTCTCCACTCCTGGTCCTCATGGGAACTTCAACCAACCCAACAGCAGGGCTTAGGCAATATTAGGAACTTAGGAAGTTCTTGGAATGTGTTGGTGATAACTTCCTTCTACAAGTGATAGAGGGGCTACGTTCTCACCAATAAGGAGGGGCTCGTGGGGAATGTGAAGCTCAAGGGAAGTCTTGGTTGCAGTGACCATGGAATGGTGGAGTTCCTTAGGGCACCTGAAAATGTTCAAGGCCAGGCTGGATGGACCTTTGAGCAACATGGTCTAGTGGAAGGTGTCCCTGGCTTTGGTGGAGCGTTTGGAAGCAGATGATCTTTAAGGCCTCTTGCAACAGAAACCATTCTATGGTTCTCAGAATTTTGCAGTATACTGCCATATTTTTAGCTGTATGTTACCAGGGACTTGCTAGCAGTATATTATTGTGGTGAATGGTTCATTTTCTGTCAGGTCTAACTGCTGGCTATAGAAGTTAACATAGCCTAACAGTATAGAAATTAGACAGAATGGGAAGGGAGAGAGATGTAGAGATTTCCAGAAAAAACTTGTTTTAACTTTTAGTTTTTGTCCTAGGAATGTTTGTGAGCGAAATGTGGTTTTTTTCTCTTAGGAATTAAAGACTCCACAAACCTTATGACTTACTTGTTTTATGTTGCCCATGTCATTCTCCACTAACTTCATAAACATGATTCCAACTTTTTTTTTGTTTTTCATTGGTGGTAATAGTGTTTTTTGTTTGTTTGTTTTGCTTTTGGTTTAGTTTGGGGTTTTTTTGGTTTGGTTTTTTTTTCTTGTGTGGTGAGGAACATGCTTTATGGTTTATATGTGGAAAAGGAAGATGCGTGCCCTTACTGAATCCTGAAGAAAGTTAGAGCTAGGGTATCAACAATTATTGTTCTCTACCCTTTTATTGCACTAGATGCTGACTAAATACCTATTTTTCTTCGGTCACAATGAACAAATTGTTCTGGGCAGTGACAATAACCCTGAATTTTATTGAAGGCTGGTGTACCACTCCCCATGAGGGTGATAGGTTTTACTAAACGTGGAAACAGGATATACTTTCTTCACATTTTATGCATTAACAACAGGAAAAAAGTACACTCCTCAAATTCTGTGTAAACACTAGTATTCCCTTTCCATTCTGCCTCCATCAGAATGTAAGTTGAAATATTTTTAAGGATATTGGACCAGAGGCTTATCCTTTGCATACTATTTGTATCTCATTATTCTGCAGAGAGATGCTTGCTCTTAACCATTTCAGAAGGAGAGTTCCTGCTGCCTGTAGCCTGATGCATGTAAAAATACTTTGACTTTGTCCCAAGAGCTTTGTGCCTTTCATTGATGAGTACCTGTCAAAGACCATTCATCCCCAAATATCCCAGAATGGCTCCTAATTAAGGAATGTGATCATTTTTCTTTGCTACTTGTGTTTCCAGGATCACTACAGGTTTGTGGCAAGGCATATATATGAAAAATCCTGAATAATTACAGTGACTGAGGAACAGATTTTTTGGGTTGGGAATTTCCAAGACTTCAATGAAAACTTTCCTCTAAAACAATGCCAACAAGTAAAAGTAAAGCCAGCTTGTTCCCACAAGCAGGTTCCCACAGGCTGTTGGTATAGAAAGGGCAAGAAATTTCCCCTTGAGCTGACACTGCTTTTTTTCTTTAAATGCTTTCCAATTCTACCCCCAAAGGGCTCCACTCCCCCTCACCACTGTGGCAAGCCTCTGTTGCAGGGCACCACAGATGCTCTGCTGGGTGTCCAGTGGGGTGGCACCTTGTTTGACATTTATTAACGTCTTTGAGCTGAAATAACTTATGAGCCTGCTACTGACCCATTGTAAATGAATGAAAAATACCTGGGCTTTTCATGCTTGTAGCAGCTTGGGAAGAAATATGGTTTTCCACTGACCATTAAATCATTTGTTAGGGATTTTTTTTTCTTTCCTGTTTTTTCTTTTGTTTTGTTTTTTGAGGGTTTGTAACTAAAAAGGTCCCTGCTTGGTACATTTTAACAGATAATTCTCTTTGCTGGTATAATTCTCTAGCAAAGTTTGTAATTAGAAGAAATGTTAAGGTGAGGGGCTTCCTCCAGATCTTCAGATGCCTGCCCCAAAGCTGTCACAAGAAGAGGTGATGAGAAAATAATACCCACCTTTTCAAGATGCAGAATGAATTAGAGAACTCGTTTTGTGGTCTGCAGGTACAGACAGCTTCCAAATCTACTCTGAAGAGGGCAGACATGTGGAGAACTGGCCTCTTCAAGGAATCTGAGGGGATGTGAGGATGCAGGAGCATATTGGTCTGGCCCTCACTGCCTCCCTGAAGCTCTGCCAGGACAAGAACTGGCTGCAGATCTTTCTCTCCCCACCACCAGCCAAAGGGCTGTCAGGGTCCTAGGGAGGTTCTGTCATTCCTGATTTGGGACATGGAGGATGATCCTGGGACCTGATGTGGAGTGGCCCACACACCAGGTTAGGTGCAGCCTTGGGAGAGGTTGGCTGGAGTCTGCCATGCACCAGGGATGTCCCCACAGCAGGGGGGAGGGGAGGGTCAGGCAGCCCTGCCACACATTTTGATCTTTATGCTTCAAGTAAGTCCTGCACTCTACATCAGTTTCCAGAGGTGGTTTCCCTTCTGCAACAACATCAGATATTCAGAAAAATGGCCAAGCTGTATGTGTGGTACTAAGACAAAAACTTGTATGTCTGTCAGTGTGCTCAGCTCATAAGCCTTTAGGAAAGGAAACTCTTATTTTTACAATATCAGGATTGTGAATTAGCATCAGTTAGCTGTTTCAGAGGATTTTCAGCCTCATGCAAAACAAAAGCCAAGCTGTGCTTGGGGACAGCAAAGGAAACTTCTACCAAGGCACACTGCTGCTGCAGATGGCTGCTTATTGCAGTCCCAGATTTGCATTTTCAACACAGAAAATATGGATGGTTTCTGATGTGAGCAGATAATCTGTC